GCTGGGTGCGCAGCGGGGCGGGAGGCCCCCACGCCGCCCATTCCGCCTGGAGACCGTGGTCCCGGCCCGGCCACAGGGATGCGGCAAAGCATTGCGGTACGCGCCCGCGCCAGACTGCCTCTAGCCCCGGCGCAGCCTGCCCGAGGGAGCGCACCGGGGGCAGCCCGGGGGCCTCTGCTGCCCAGCCCCGAAATCCCGCTCCTGGAGGCTAGCGGAGATGCCGCTAGCCAGGTGGTGCGCTGTCGGAGCCGGATCTGGGGTGAGCATGCTAGGTTGGTGTTGTCCGAACCGGCAGGGGAGATGGAGCGTCTTGCTCTGGACCCGCTTGAAAGAGCTCAGTGGCGTGGTGGCTCTTGGTGGCCCACTTTGTTCTGGTCGTGTTTTGTTTTCCGCTTTTGTTTTGCTTTACTTTGTTTTCTCAGCTTTTCAAAATCGACCTTTTAGCAATCTGTTTTCCCACGAGTGAATCATTCATTGTCTGTACACTCGAAGGGAAAGGATAATTCACCCATTGCCACACTGAGGTAGAATTGAGGTAACTTTCCTGTGTGTTTTTTTCTTTTATTTCCGATGAACAACCTGAAACATCAGCCTTACCAATTATTTGCTTACCCACACATTTTAAGGCGAGTGAAGGAAACCTTTGCCCACTTCATATAGCAAGGTGACGGTAACATTGATTCCCTTTTCAAAATTGGGGTTAAACAATATAACCAGACGTTCTCCATCTCAACGTTCTGTACATGTACAATTCAGTGACTTTCATTACATTCATGTTGTGCAGCCATCACCATGTTTCCAAATGCCTCTACCCCCTCCCCCCGGGAAGCTCAGGATGGTTTCTTTCCTGTGGTTTTTAAAAAAATGTTCAGGGTTTGCTGGGGCCACGTGAATGGTGAATGTGCAGATTCCTTAGAGACACCCCATGCCTCTTTCCTGGCTTCGACCTCTTTTTTCTCCTAGCTCTTTGGCTTCCTCTCTCCGCGTCCCAGTCCCCATGGTCTCTTGCCCTTTGAGTCCTCCTCCTTCTCTCTCGGTGGAGAATCCCTCCCCCTCCCCTGCCTGCTCCTCCAGCTGCCTTTTGCTTGGCTTCCTCTGTTTCAGTGGAGCTGCATTTGGGAACTTCCCAGCTCATCCTTGTGCCGGTTCCCCCCTTCCACTGAAAGTAGAAATGACAAGGAAGGAGGGCAGTTCCTTATGCAATTTGAGATCTGTTGATGCTGCTTGTGTTTTTGTACGGAATTTGGGGTTTTCAGGGGGAGAGAGTGCTGTGTTTCTTGTCGATATATTTGGTGTGTGTGCCTTGTTTGATTGCTTGCTTGTTTTTAGTTCAGTTGCTTTTTCTTTTTATGTGTATTTTTGTTTGGAGGAGGAGAGTTAGTGACAAGAACAGAGTCCACTGCACCAGAATAGCTGTTGCAAGCCACATCAATAGCAAGTCAGAAGGCTCAAATGAAATGTTGCTCTTACATGAAAAAGTTGCTTCGGGTGATGTCATACTTCAGCATTAGTGCTTCTTTTGGCCTGCCAGTCATGCTGTTGTGCACAGGGGAAATGTAAGGGTATAGCGCAGCCCCGTTGAATCTGGGCAGTGCCCACCTTAGCCTGAGCCAAAGTACTTAGAATGCATATCTTCCTTGGTCAGGTGGCTAATACAGTGCCCTCCTTGAGACACGTTCAGGTTTTAGCACTAGCGGATTCCTCTTGGGCAAATAAACAAAAGAGTTCCTGTGTGTCACTTTTTTTTTTACCATCCTCTCATTGTACCTTCCTGGGCACTAGATTTATTTAATATTTGATGGTGACCGTACTGAAATTGGTGGCCCACTGGGAAAGGTTCTCATGGCCTGGAATGGCACCAATAAAATGCATGCCACGTGTGTTCTTTTTTAAGCTTTTCCACGAAACATTGCATTTATTGGTGTAGATATGCAATGTGCATGGTGTGCCCTGCACCGGCTTAATTTGCCAAGCAGTGAACTCCCCCAGCAAATGATTCCCCACGTGCCTATGGACAGGGCAAAGAGGTGGTAACATGTGGGGTGAGGGGAGCGGATATTTTGGAGCTGAGCCTTTTAGGAGGAACATTCGCTTAGCTGAAGCATTCTGGCCCTGCAGGCAAAGAAAAATACCTCTAGAATGACAGCCTGTGAACTCTTCTTCCTTGGCAGTGGCAAGCTGTGGGTAAAGGGAAGGAGACAAGCATTTCGAGTTAAGTGGCCATTGCACTTGGGTTCAAAGCACTACCTAAAGGGACTGGAGAGGGCCAAGAGGTAGGCCGGCTCCTTCTAGGGGTGGGAAGGTGCCTGGTGCTCAGCTAAGTGGTACAGGGACAAGGAGATGCCGTTCCTGCTTTCAGGGTCCCACAGACAAAAGGCTCCCCCCACCCGTTTGGGAGATGTCTGACAGGAAACTAAGATACAGTTTATTTGCCTAGAAATAAAAAAATTTGGACATACCCTTCAAAATGATTGTTCTAGAAGCCCGCAGAGCCATGTGTGCTTTGTAAGCCAGCAGTGTACAGGAGGGAACTGATTCATGGCATGATGCTTCACTGTGTGGACTGGAGCCCAAACAAAACTCTTACCAAGACTCCTTCCACCTTCATCTTCTGAGTAAGCCTCTCTATGGCAACCCAGCCCTCCATCACCATCCTCCACCTAGCCAGGGCTCAGATCTCGGCTCAGCCTCTTTCAAGCTAATGCCTAGGTAATGGGCAGTCAGAAATTGAAATGCCATTGTGGGCCTCAGGACACAGCTACTAGCATACTCCATGGTCTGAGGTCATTTGAGTGGATAGGAAACTCATGACCTGCACTCAAGGGCTGTGTTTGGTGGTCCTTCTACAGAAAATATTTTCAGAGGTCCTCTCCACCTCCTCACCCACTGCAACTATTTGTTGTGTGCTCTGAACATGCAAAATCCATAGGAATGAGATGGGGGACTGAGATCAAATGTATGGCACTGTTGGAGCCTATTGTTGCTCCACTAAGTGAGACTGCTTGGGGGTTCTAGGGCCGTCCAAAGCAAAAGCTCAGGATTGTAGCTGGTTGTTCACTATGATCTGCTTTAGACACACATCCCTTTGCAAGGAATGACCATTGAAAAACTGTTTTCTTTTTATTTTTTAGATTATTTCTCTTTATTCAGAAGCATAACATTGTTTGCTGATTGCAAGAAGATGTTTCTTTGGCTCTTTCTGATCTTGTCAGCCCTGATTTCTTCGACCAAAGCAGATGCTGGCCTCTCGGTGGACATTTGCAGCGCGTGCTCCTGCGTGTCAGTTGAGAATGTGCTCTATGTCAACTGTGAGAAGGTGTCCGTCTACAGACCGAATCAGCTGAAGCCACCGTGGTCTAATTTCTATCACCTCAATTTCCAAAACAATTTCTTAAATATCCTCTATCCAAATACCTTCTTGAATTTCTCACACGCAGTATCCCTGCAGCTGGGAAATAATAAACTGCAGAACATAGAGGGAGGAGCTTTTCTCGGGCTCAGTGCATTAAAGCAGTTGCACTTGAACAACAATGAATTAAAGATTCTCCGAGCTGACACTTTCCTTGGCATCGAGAACTTGGAGTATCTCCAGGCTGACTACAATTTAATCAAGTATATTGAGCGAGGAGCCTTCAATAAGCTCCACAAACTGAAAGTTCTCATTCTTAATGACAATCTGATTTCATTCCTTCCTGATAATATTTTCCGATTTGCATCTTTGACCCATCTGGATATCCGAGGCAACAGGATCCAGAAGCTTCCCTATATAGGAGTGTTGGAACACATCGGCCGGGTCGTCGAATTGCAGCTGGAAGATAACCCTTGGAACTGTAGCTGTGATTTGTTGCCTTTGAAAGCTTGGCTGGAGAATATGCCCTATAACATTTACATCGGAGAAGCTATCTGTGAAACTCCCAGTGACTTATATGGCAGGCTTTTAAAAGAAACTAACAAACAAGAATTATGCCCCATGGGCACGGGCAGCGATTTCGATGTTCGAATCCTGCCTCCTTCTCAGCTAGAAAACGGTTACACCACCCCCAATGGGCACACAACGCAAACATCCCTACACAGGCTAGTGACCAAGCCACCGAAAACGACCAATCCTTCTAAGATCTCCGGAATCGTGGCAGGCAAAGCCCTCTCCACCCGCAATCTCAGTCAGATTGTCTCTTACCAAACACGAGTGCCCCCACTTACACCTTGCCCGGCACCTTGTTTCTGCAAAACCCATCCTTCGGATTTGGGACTGAGTGTCAACTGCCAAGAGAAGAATATTCAATCCATGTCTGAGCTGATACCGAAACCCTTGAATGCCAAGAAGCTGCACGTCAATGGAAACGGTATCAAGGACGTGGACATCTCCGACTTTGCTGAGTTTGAAGGCCTGGATTTGCTCCATTTAGGGAGCAATCAGATCACAGCGATCCAGGGAGATGTCTTCCACAATCTCACTAATTTGCGCCGGTTGTATCTCAATGGCAACCAGTTAGAGCGACTCTCCCCCGAGATCTTTTCAGGCCTCCACAACCTGCAGTATCTGTACTTGGAATACAATTTGATAAAGGAGATCTTAGCTGGCACCTTTGACTCCATGCCCAACTTGCAATTACTGTACCTAAACAATAATCTCTTGAAGAGCCTGCCCGTGTACATCTTCTCAGGGGCCTCCCTGGCTAGACTGAACCTGAGAAACAACAAGTTCATGTACCTGCCCGTCAGCGGGGTGCTCGATCAGCTGCAGGCCCTCACCCAGATCGACCTGGAAGGCAACCCTTGGGACTGCACCTGTGACTTGGTGGCGTTGAAGCTGTGGCTGGAGAAGTTGAACGACGGGATCGTGGTGAAAGAACTAAAGTGTGAGACACCGGTGCAGTTTGCCAACATCGAGCTCAAGTCCCTCAAAAACGAAATCTTATGTCCTAAACTCTTAAACAAGCCATCCGCCCTGTTCACGAGCCCGGCACCGGCCATTACACTCACCACCCCACTGGGTCCAATCCGAAGCCCCCCCGGCGGCCCAGTGCCTCTGTCGATTTTAATCTTAAGTATCTTAGTGGTTCTCATTCTGACTGTCTTTGTGGCCTTCTGCCTTTTGGTCTTTGTGCTCAGGCGCAACAAGAAACCCACGGTGAAGCACGAAGGCCTGGGGAACCCGGAGTGTGGCTCCATGCAGCTGCAACTGAGGAAGCCCGACCACAAAAGCAACAAGAAGGACGGGCTGAGCACTGAAGCGTTCATCCCCCAAACCATAGAGCAGATGAGCAAGAGCCACACGTGTGGCTTAAAGGAGTCGGAGACCGGCTTCATGTTTTCCGATCCCCCGGGACAGAAAGTCATCCTGCGAAACGTGGCGGAGAAAGACAAAGAGTTATTACATGTAGATTGCAGGAAGAGACTGAGCACCATTGACGAGCTGGATGAATTATTCCCGAGCCGAGATTCCAATGTGTTCATTCAGAATTTTCTGGAAAGCAAGAAGGAATACAATAGCATAGGGGTCAGTGGCTTTGAGATCCGCTATCCAGAAAAACAGCAAGACAAAAAAAACAAGAAGTCGCTAATAGGAGGCAACCACAGTAAAATCGTGGTCGAGCAAAGGAAGAGCGAGTACTTTGAACTGAAAGCCAAACTTCAGAGTTCCCCCGACTACCTACAGGTCCTGGAAGAGCAAACCGCTTTGAACAAGATGTAGGTCATGCAATCTTAATTCATACAGAGGACATTTATTTCATGATGAAAGTGCCTTTTGTTGACTTCTAACTTCCAAATACTATATTATCAATAGGCATAGAGGCAGGTGTTTCCAAGGGTGTCTCGTTAACTGTAGCTGCAAAGATGTGTCAAGTAGAAGCGACTTTCTTTAAATAGATTTTACTACAGAAAACCTATACTGTGGAGTCCTGTGGGGATACTGCAAACTCTATTGCCAAAGGGATGCTTTATACACATCATACACTGAATTTAACCTCAAGAGGCGAATCTGTTTTGTACCCTAAATGCAAAGCCGTCGTCTCTTTGTGCTTGGGAACGCCAACTCAAGAAGACTGGTACCAATGTGGGTACGTCAGCTGGGTCCTTCATCTTGCACGTAGATTAAGTTGGTGGAACTGGAAGAATCCTTTTGAATTTGTGGCATTGTAACAACTCTGTTTAAAGATTATCTGAACAGTCAAAAAAGATTAAAAAAAACCCACAAAAAGAAAAAAACCCCACAAAAACAGCATGCAAAGAGAGAACTTCTATTCGATAGTATTTGTAAATTGGTAACCTTTATGGCCTGCATCTTGAAATCGCTGGATTTATAATGTTAAATTGTGCAAATATTTGTTTCAGATATACCATGCATTACGTAACTATACAATAAATCTGAAAACTTTAAGCATTACCTGTCTATACATAAAAAGAAAAAAAAACCTAAAAGAGGAGTAATCAAAGTGAATTACCTAGCGTTCGTGGTGATCTGAAGAAATATGTGATGTCTATCAGAATTAAACCTGGCTCAAATTAACTAACATTAGAGTTTGTTCTCAGTTATGTGAAATACCCACAATCCTTAAAGGTTGTCCAAAATTAGCAAAGTGCTTACCGTGTGAGCGCACCCAAAGCTATTTTTGTAACATAATTCATATTTATGAAGTACTTTGTATACTAAATAGGAAAATATGTACTCCTTAATATGTATTTAATATGCCTGACTTGTTTTCCTGATCACAATGAATTTATCAGTAAGTATCCATTTAGACAGAAAGAAAAACAATATGCTAAACTGAAATTACAAGTGATGTGTATAGAACTACCCTGGACATTGTGATCAGGTATGATTAAAAGACAAAAACAAAAAAAACCAACAAAACTGAAATACACAAAAAAAGTTCTGTGCTATTCTTGTGAAATTAGCATATTACCTTCAGATTTGTTACCAGTCGTGCATTTTAAAAATAGGTTCTTTAGTTTTATAGTATCTTGTCTGGGCAATTGTTATTTGCCATCAGTTGTCTTGCTTTTCAGGATTCTATGAACTTAATTCCAATAGTTTTCACTATGAGTAAAAGAAAATTAATGCATAAGGTTAATAGTCCTATCTTGTATGCATCAGTATCCTGTTCTTTCATCATTCTGACTACTATCAGATAATCAAGTAGAACAGCAAACACCATGGTAATCTTGGCTGTCCAAGCCACATTGTAAAATGCTTTCATTGGTCTCTGATGACTTCACAGTTTGCAACTACAAATGATAAGCTACTGTGTTTGCGTGTGTTAAGTTCTAAGTCAAAACTGGTCAAAGGAATGAAATACTTGGTATGGGAGATAGTTGAAGATTCTTGAGGAGCTCCCAGTTCGCAAGGTGACATCCAGAAACACATTGCCTTCTCAGCCTGCCTCCATATCTATATATTTTGTGTGTGTGCGCTCCATCTCTTACAATTACTCTATTAATCTGTAAGAAGACCAACAAGGTAAGTGTAGAATTCTCCATGAATTTCTAGTGGCAGATATTTTGGTGCAGCTTCCAAATTGATAGTAGGGTTATGTTATAACAGCAGTCCCATTTTTAGTTACTAATTATCAGGGCTTTCTGTGTTTGTTCCAAGATGAAAACTTGACATTTTTGGAGGGGTGTATGTGGGTATGTGTGTGTTTGGGTATATATGTGTCTGTGTAGATAATTTGGAGTGTTTGTGGTTTTGTTTTTGTTTTTTTAAGTAAGAAAACAAAGTTCTCTCCACCTGTATGTGCTGGTGCTCTTAAAACTTTAATGTTTAATTTTCATGACAATGTCTGTGAAAACTTTATATGAATATACAGAAATCCAAACAAATCATTGCATTCCATGATCATGAAAAGAGACATTATGATATGTGCCCAACAGCTTGTTTTCATCTACAATTTCATACGGACTTTTGATATGCTATTACCATGCATGCATGCCCCCGTGGATTAAAGGGCTCCTAATGCGTCCTGACAGGATAAAGATATAAAGACGCAAACACTTCAAAGAAGGTGTTTTAGTTGATCCTGTCAATGAAGTATGGATTGAGGAATCTTAAGTAGACACTTCTGGGAGGAGCCGGAAAGCTCCCTCTCTGATCTGGGGAGAATAGGTCATTGGAGTGATGCCTCTTATTCAGTGTGGGGTTGCTTTGAAGATGTTTCAAGGTTTCTGCAGAGTTGTCAATAACGAGAGTACCTGCCACCATCTCAAAGCTGCCTGTAGCATATTGGCTATTTCATACTCTTCTGCTGAAAGGTGTAAATTTCTAACTTTTTTTTTCTAATGAAAAGTAATATCACTATGTGGTTCTTTGGAGGCTCTCATTGTAAATGAATGATAGCAGCAACCCATTGGTTAAGGTTGATATATGTTCCTTAACTGAAGTCATTGTGCTTACATTATACAGTGTGTCCTGTTTTGCACTGGTCTCATCAATTCTACTCGTCCGTTTTATGATACTGTAGTTCTGCATAAGTTTTGAGTTTCGTGCCAGAGAAGTTAAAATCCTGTATCTACATTTTGTTGGTTTTCAACTATAACCTTGATGTTAGTTTCACCCCTTGAGAACTGAGATATATGTTGGTCCAGCATTTTTAGTGGAACTTTGATTCAGCTCTAGAAGAATCCAAGAATGCTCCTTTGCACGTTGCTGTGGTGCATCCCGGGCTTCTTGGCATCGTGTTCCTGTGAGTGGACTCTTTTAGATCAGTTGTGAATTAAAGTAGACCATCTGGAATCAGTGGAGGGGTGGAGATAATATATTGTGTCCGTGTAATATAAATCAAGTTTTAAATTATTTTTTTATGAAATCAATAAAGATGATTCAATTCTTTAAAAGTAAATCTTTGTGAAATTTTATGAGAAAGCAGCTATTAAAGTACAGTGATCCAAGTCTATAAGGCAATTTATATTCGATATTTAGTTTTCCATTCTGAATAATAAACTGAATAAATGTATTCATCAGAAAACCATTGAAAACCGGCTTTCTTTTGTTGTTGTTGCTTTTTAGCATTTAATTTTTTTAAGCCATAAGGATGCATCAGTTATACAAAGCATGGCCTCACGAGTCAACATCAACAGGTATTTGAGAGTTAACAGAAAACAGCAAGAAATGTATGGCAGCAATGATAATGTTGTTTGCACGAATTGTACATTGACATTGTATGAAATGAGCACAGTGAGTTATTTTATTTTGTTTTGTTTTTAATGTCGCATCCAAAGAGCTGGGGAGAGAGTATATTAAGAATGTATTTATAATCACTATTTTGAAATAAAGAAAATACCTTGTATTGTTTTTACCCTGATATGAGTATGAGTATTTGAGATTAGTTTATAAGACAAAAAAAATCGATTTATGCTATAAGCGCTAATGTAAACCACCAAAAGGAATTGTTTTAATGACTTTTGTTTGCTTTTAATAATCTCAAAAGTATTAGAGAGAATTTATTAAATGCCATTTTTATGAAAGTATTAATAAAATTGTTTGCTATAATGGTATTTCTGAAGCCAGAGTTTGTTAAGTATATATTTATCTTTCCATTACTTTTCAGAAGAAATAAAGCTGTAACCAAACTGATGATTTCCCCCTCTAGATTCGAGGGTAAGGTATATAGCTGTAGAGTACGGTCTGTATTCAATATCATCGATAAATCTGTTAAGGGTTTCCAACCCCCACCCCCTGCCCAAACATCTTTGCAATCTGTGTTCTTTTCAACTGGCAGCCCCAAAGGAGAATCGTCAGGCAGTGCCAAGAGCGATATGTTTTGATTCTTGTCCATTCTCCATCACTTGGAAACTGACATCATTGCAGACATGCAGATATTAGTATTCAACCTTAACTATCTTCTCAGACAGCTATAAAAGAGCTTCAGGGCGGCTGTCATCTGAGGCCAGCTCAACTAAGTTAAGCATTTATGGGGTGAATTGTGATTTTTTTATGTGGCTCCTTCAAAGATGACCAAAATTATCAATCTATCACTATACCAAAGATTGTGGTTAAAAAAAATGAGTCTCATGTGTCATAGCTGATTTGAGGGAATGAAAGAATATAAAAAGACTCTGGTAACCAGTAGAGCGGGTTTAAGGCATGTTTATGTACAGGAAGAGGTATAAAAAGAATACAAATTAATTAAATTGTTGTGGCCTTCGGTCTATACCTAGCAATGCAGAAGGTGTGGAAAGTCTATATAGCATATGCAAGTGCCTTTGGACTCAATGTCTTATGTGTCACAGAGATATGTAACTTATTTTCGTTCTTTGTGGGCCCTGAGCAGAGAGCTTTTGAAGGCTCAGCTAATCAGTTATGTGGATGAGTGGCATCAAATCAAAATTTGGACTCATTTCCAGTGCTCATACAATTAGTCACTGTGGTCAGGCTCAGTAAAACTATTCCTGTTTGTGGCCTGACTTGCTGAGAATAATGAACTGCACATTCTCAAGCTCACCTGGTAATTGCTAACCCACTGCGTTAGATTTGCTAGGGAGCTGACTTTTGTCCAGTTGAAGACAAATCAGAAGCTCAATGCATTTTTAAAAACTTATTCTGTACAAAGCTGCTCTGAACCTATTTTTGAATTTCATTTGGACCTTTCTGCCACTGGGCGACAGGTTTGTGTTTCAGAAAGGGGAAATCAAGGAAAGCCACCCATGCCGTCCATTGTAATCGAAGAGGATGGCTTTACCTTTCGCAGCCAGTCTCCTCCACTCTCCCTGTGGAAGGAGAAAGGGGTGCTTTGAGTCAATCATTGAAGTTCTTGGACCTAAACAGTTCTATAGAAAATGAAAAGATTCAAACATCCCTTTAATTCAGGATTACCAAATCCAGGAAAGACGTGTTCAGCCACTCCTTCGGTTTCCTCGTGTGGACACTGGCTAAAGTGCTGCTCGTTCTGGCCATTTCAATAGGGCCAGAAAACTGCGACCTCAAACAGCTGAGGAATAGGGCTCTCAGACCGAGAATATGGACATGTAATAAAAAAATATGCAGCATCATTGTAAACTAGTTGTAGGAAGGAAATCATCATTTAACGTTTCTGAACAATATATTTATCTCAGCATCTCACAAATCCTAGGTCATGTCAGAAGCTGTCGGTGACCAGCCTAAGGAAGCCTAGTTATTGAGTGGCACCTGCTCATGGAACCCTTTGAGGATCAGAGTAAACTCTGCCATCCTGACTAAGAATTGAACTGTATCATCCCATCATTTCTTGTGAACTGAACCATTGTGGCAAAAGCTCAGAGTATCCAGCCACTTTAATGCTGTTTTCACAAATAAAAGTTTTTGCTTTGTTTTCTTTCCATATGGGTTCTGTTTGTAGCCATTCCTTGTGTTTATTCTAATTCTTAAACTGGAAGTAGTGAAGCTCAAATTTACAAAGAAATGCAAATCATCTGTCTCTTAGCTGATGTCTTCGTTCTATTTCTTTACAAGTATAGGCCAGATCTACCTATACACTTTCTTATACCGTACACACACTCAGAGGAATGCATACAAATAGCTTTAGACAAAGGGAATGGCTATGATGTAACCAAATAAAATGCTCTGCCGCACTATCAAGATTATTGTTTAACTACCATAGTTATGGGGACCCAAATGATAATTGGCCTGATTTTTCCTCTTAAATGGGAAGCAGACCACACTGTCATATAATGTAATATACGTAGAAAGCAGGTCCAGCAAATCTTCCAGACATTCCTTGAGCTGTAGTAACACCTACTGCCTTAGGATTCTGTTTAGCTGTTAATTATATGCAAACTCAATCACTGAGCATTACTACACATATGTAGTAACTAAATATTATTCAGCAAACAAGCAAATTGTCAGGTCATTTATGTCCAAAATCTAGAACCTTGGGGTGATGATTTAATGAGGAAATTGTTAGAAAAGAGAAGATTTTTTTATCCCCCTTAAGGATGAAGAGTTGATTGACAATTATTGACTCAAGACGTATCAAGGAGGAGAAAGGCCAAGGAGTATTAAGAGGAAAGAAGTCTGCTGAGCAGGTACTCATAGAACTCAGAACCTAATTACTGAAACGGAGCCATAGTAAAATCTGTCAAACCTTAGAATTTTCTTATTCCCTGTGTCCCTGCCTTATTCTTTAAATACATAGATATGAAATCTAGGCTGTGTCAACACATTCCTAGTAATTCCTTCATTAGTGATGAATTCCTAAGTCATTGGTCAAGTACAAGAGCCAGTTCTCTTTTTTACTCTCCCTGGTTGACTGACACGGTGGATTTATTGTCAAGGGTCTTGAGACAGCTTTAGTTGGCAACAGCGATAAGTAGTATTTGTGTGCAATGAGGAGAGGCTGTGAAGCACGAGGGTGGCACACAATACGCGGGCATTTCCATAGGGAGCCAAAGACACTGGCATCAACATCGTGGTTCTCGATCTCGTGGTAAAATGCTGCTAGGCTTCATTTGGGGTTTTCAGTTCAATAAAAAGGACCAAGTGCATGCTTGAGAAGCCATTTCCTGCAAGAATCCCCAGGAAACCTTGTATTTGCCACGGATCCCCTTGCTCCATAGCGGGATGTGTCTCATTTGCCAAGGCCTCCCTGCAGGAATTTCTTCTCTTCTGCTGGGTCTGAACAGCCAATGCCATCTATGGCACGAGTTACCTCAGGCAGATTATTTCTCACTCTGGTCTGGCAGTCAGTGGCAATACACACGCACAAAAGCTATGATTAGAAATCCACACATATATTCACCATTGCGATGCCCACAGAGGTTTCTTCTGTTGTGTATGGCTCGCGCCTGTATTCACCACTTATCCTACAATCCCCAGCAGCTACTGATAGTTGTATTCTTGGCTCTCCTTCCAACTGGTAGGTAATCTCAGTCCTGGAAACAGTTCTTTATCGAAAGACTCATCACACCTCTCTCTGCTTATTTCCTTCTGTAGCTTAAAGAAAGATATATCAATTAGTACAGGAAGTGATGAATTGAGAAGGAAGTCTTGTAGACACACACAACACCATGATGAGAAAGTGGAGTGAGTGATTAGAACGAAGCCCACTGCAGGACGATCCTTACTGTGTTTTAGATGCCCTGCCTTTGCGATTGGAATGCAAGGCTCCAGCTCATGAGCTGGGCCAGAGAAGCCAGTTTTCACTCTGGCGCCCTGGCAGTCACTAAGGAAGTAGATTATTGCTGACATGTGAGCAGGTTAGCCATGTGTTCCCACACACATGCAGCTATTTTCTGATGGTATTCTCATTTCAGATCATATGCATTTGCTCAGTTTGGCATTGCCCTTGCAATGCTGCCCTATCTAGTCTCCCCATGACAATGCACACAGCAACTGACCCCACCTCCCTAGTTAACTCAGCAGTTACACAGAGGTGTGCAGTGAAAACTACATACAACCATCGGGATGAAGAGGACAATTAGTATGTTCTTTAAAAAAATACAATAATAATAAATGGGTTTAAGACAGCCACCATGGACATCTTTTTGTCACAGGACATTATGGGAGACCCACCTCACTTTGAAGTTGGCTTCTGGTGGGCGTAGATACATGTGCCTCGGCTCCTGGCCAGCAAGTGCGCCCCTGCACCATCATCCTGGTGGCCGAGGCTGTGCTGCAGTGCCGAGGGTGTGCGCACTGACTCGGTGATTTCATCACACAGGCAGCTATTATTTCAGCTGTCTATTTGCCTACAAACTAATCGGAAAAGCCTGTTTTCTGCTGCAAATATGATTTCGAAAGCTGAGAGAGAACTGTTGGAGGGGCCGTCGCTCATTCTACATATTACCAAAGTAGGAATAAATAAAAAGCTCTTTGGGTAATAGTCATTGTCAATAGTTAGGGAACCCCAGCAGATGATGGGAGTATATAGTGTCATTGAAATTTCAAATAAAAAAAAAAAGAAATTTCAAATCCAATAAACCCAAAGCCAAACGTCTTACTGTCATCTGACTCACAGCAACCCCGTAGGGCCATGTCGAACTTCCCCAAAGGGTTTCATGAACTGTACTCTTCACAGAAGTAGACTGTCGCATCTTTCTCCCATGAAGTAGCTGATGATTTCAAACCATTGACCTTTCAATTAGCAACAGAGCATTTTCTCCACTCTACTACCAGGGCTTTGGAAGTCAGATAGGATGGTCTATATCCCAACTGATACTAAAGAACAGTTAGGGTGAGAGAAGGAACGTGATTTGACCTGGTCTGGTGTCAGACCTGATTCTCCTGTCTCAGAATCAGGAAGTTCTTGTGAGGACAATTGAAGATCCGTGGGTGGGCTTCAAGGAGACCTAACAAGGCACCGTAAATATGCTCCATAAGGTTTGACAACAAGGTCATAAATGGAATGAGCTAGAGAACAAGTACCAAGCACGTTATCTGTGGAAGTATCCAAGGTTTGACTGGTTCTGACGAGGAGGGTGGCTTTTTCCAAATCAGTTATTTTCAGTATAAAGTTGTACAACACGATCTTAGAAGATATTCTGCTAAGGCCATATTCCTAGGATTCCATGGGGCATCCATTAAAAGTCA